TTGTATGACATTGCGGTAGAATTGAGCTGTGTTGTTTCCCATTCCGTTCATTTTGTAAGTATAAGTATAGATGCCACACCTGTGACTGGTAAATTTTTTTTTTTTAAGAAATGGTGCCATCTGTTGGGCATATGAGAAACTCACACTATGCTAATTAGGTTACAATTTCATTTTAATGTTTCCGATTGCATTGAAAAATATAATTTTCCTAGATTTTGATTTATTTTCATTTTGATTTAAGTATTTTGTGTGACAATGTGTTGGACTTGAGCTGTGTTGTTTACCATACTGTTCATTTTGTGAGTTTTTTTCATTTTTCTAAATTTTCTGATGTGAACATCAGATTACTGTAGACACTCGATTATCCAGGATTTGACCATCTGGAAAACACCCTTATCCGGCTAAAATTGTGACTGGATAAAGTTATCCCACTATTCAGCAAAAATGTTGATGGGAACCTGATAAAAGCCGGTTAGGCCGGATAAAAAAATCTGAGCTGGTGGGCCATGCCGTATTAATCCCGTACAGCTGTGGCTCAAGGCCATGGTGTAGGAGGGGGGTAGGATGGGTGGGTGGTGTCCGGAGAGAGGGGAGTGTTGGGAGGGACCACCTGGGGGATAACAGTCAGGAAGGGAGGGAGGCAGTTGGTCAGGAAGGGAGGGAGGGAGGGAGTTGGTCAGGAAGGGAGGGAGGGAGGGAGTTGGTCAGGAAGGGAGGGAGGGAGGGAGTTGGTCAGGAAGGGAGGGAGGGAGGGAGTTGGTCAGGAAGGGAGGGAGGGAGGGAGTTGGTCAGGAAGGGAGGGAGGGAGGGAGTTGGCCAGGAAGGGAGGGAGGGAGTGAGGGAGTTTGTCAGGAAGGGAGGGAGAGAGTTGGTCAGGAAGGGAGGGAGGGAGTTGGTCAGGAAGGGAGGGAGGGAGTTGGTCAGGAAGGGAGGGAGGGAGTTGGTCAGGAAGGGAGGGAGGAAGGGAGGGAGGGAGTGGTCAGGAAGGGAGGGAGGGAGTTGGTCAGGAAGGGAGGGAGGGAGTTGGTCAGGAAGGGAGGGAGGGAGTTGGTCAGGAAGGGAGGGAGGGAGTTGGTCAGGAAGGGAGGGAGGGAGTTGGTCAGGAAGGGAGGGAGGGAGTTGGTCAGGAAGGGAGGGAGGGAGTTGGTCAGGAAGGGAGGGAGGGAGTTGGTCAGGAAGGGAGGGAGGGAGTTGGTCAGGAAGGGAGGGAGGGAGTTGGTCAGGAAGGGAGGGAGGGAGTTGGTCAGGAAGGGAGGGAGGGAGTTGGTCAGGAAGGGAGGGAGGGAGTTGGTCAGGAAGGGAGGGAGGGAGTTGGTCAGGAAGGGAGGGAGGGAGTTGGTCAGGAAGGGAGGGAGGGAGTTGGTCAGGAAGGGAGGGAGGGAGTTGGTCAGGAAGGGAGGGAGGGAGTTGGTCAGGAAGGGAGGGAGGGAGTTGGTCAGGAAGGGAGGGAGGAAGGGAGGGAGGGAGTTGGTCAGGAAGGGAGGGAGGGAGTTGGTCAGGAAGGGAGGGAGGGAGTTGGTCAGGAAGGGAGGGAGGGAGGGAGGGAGGGAGTTGGTCAGGAAGGGAGGGAGGGAGTGAGTTGGTCAGGAAGGGAGGGAGGGAGTTGGTCAGGAAGGGAGGGAGGGAGGAGGGAGTTGGTCAGGGAGGGAGGGAGGGAGGAAGGGAGGGAGGGAGGGAGGGAGGGAGGGAGTTGGTCAGGAAGGGAGGGAGGGAGGGAGGGAGTTTTTCAGGAGGGAGGGAGGGAGTTGGTCAGGGAGGGAGGGAGTTGGAAGGGAGGGAGGGAGTTGGTCAGGAAGGGAGGGAGGGAGTTGGTCAGGAAGGGAGGGAGGGAGGGAGGGAGTTGGTCAGGAAGGGAGGGAGGGAGGGTCAGGAAGGGGAGTTGGTCAGGAAGGGAGGGAGGGAGTTGGTCAGGAAGGGAGGGAGGGAGGGAGGGAGTTGGTCAGGAAGGGAGGGAGGGAGGGAGGGAGGGAGTTGGTCAGGAAGGGAGGGAGGGAGTTGGTCAGGAGTTGGTCAGGGAGGGAGGGAGTTGGTCAAGAAGGGAGGGAGGGAGTTGGTCAGGAAGGAAGGGAGGGAGGGAGGGAGTTGGTCAGGAAGGGAGAGAGGGAGGGAGGGAGTTGGTCAGGAAGGGAGGGAGGGAGTTGGTCAGGAAGGGAGGGAGTTGGTCAGGAAGGGAGGGAGGGAGTTGGTCAGGGAGGGAGTTCTTCAGGAAGGGAGTTGGTCTGGAAGGGAGGGAGGAAGGGAGTTGGTCAGGGAGGGAGGAAGGGAGTTGGTCAGGGAGGGAGGGAGTTGGTCAGGAAGGGAGGGAGGGAGTCAGTCAGGAAGGGAGGGAGTTGGTCAGGAAGGGAGGGAGGGAGTTGGTCAGGAAGGGAGGGAGGGAGGGAGTTGGTCAGGAAGGGAGGGAGTTGGTCAGGAAGGGAGGGAGTTGGTCAGGAAGGGAGGGAGGGAGTTGGTCAGGAAGGGAGGGAGGAAGGGAGTTGGTCTGGAAGGGAGGGAGGAAGGGAGTTGGTCAGGAAGGGAGGGAGGAAGGGAGTTGGTCAGGGAGGGAGGGAGTTGGTCAGGAAGGAAGGGAGGGAGTTGGTCAGGAAGGGAGGGAGGGAGGGAGTTGGTCAGGAAGGGAGGGAGGGAGTTGGTTAGGAAGGGAGGGAGGAAGTTGGTCAGGAAGGTAGGGAGGGAGGGAGTTGGGAGGAAGGAAGGGAGGGAGGGAGTTGGTCAGGAAGGTAGGGAGGGAGGGAGTTGGTCAGGAAGGAAGGGAGGGAGGGAGTTGGTCAGGAAGGAAGGGAGGGAGTTGGTCAGGAAGGAAGGGAGGGAGGGAGGGAGGGAGGGAGGGAGTTGGTCAGGAAGGAAGGGAGGGAGGGAGGGAGTTGGTCAGGAAGGAAGGGAGGGAGGGAGGGAGGGAGTTGGTCAGGAAGGAAGGGAGGGAGGGAGGGAGTTGGTCAGGAAGGAAGGGAGGGAGGGAGGGAGGGAATTGGTCAGGAAGGAAGGGAGGGAGGAAGTTGGTCAGGAAGGGAGGGAGGGAGTTGGTCAGGAAGGAAGGGAGGGAGGGAGGGAGGGAGTTGGTCAGGAAGGAAGGGAGGGAGGGAGTTGGTCAGGAAGGAAGGGAGGGAGGGAGGGAAGGAGTTGGTGACGGAGGAAGGAGGAACTGTTGTGTGTGTATGTGACTCGCATTAAGCCTAACTAAGGAAGGTGGCGTTGGTGGTGTTGAAAGAATTATATTGTTTTCTTATTGCTGTGGAGAGCTAGTTACGAATATTAATTAAATATCACACTATAATAGTTGAACAGTACAGTACAGTACTATATTTGGTTTGCTATTTATTCATTTAAATATTTACAATAAAATAAAATGGGATTTAACAGAACTTTAGGCGCATATGTTAATCCTTCCACTGCTCAGGGGTCCTGAGGTCATTTACACCCCTGTGTGCAAGAAAAAATTTTTTAAATTTTTTTTCGTCTTCTAAACATGTTAATTTTTGTCCCCTGAGCACAGGAAAAATAATAAAAAAAATCTGTTGTACATACCAATGACACAATTGAGCCGACAAGTTGGCCGATGACGTCACAGAGCGTGAGCACTCAAGGGTGCTACGTCAGGCAGCTGTTGCTCACGGCCGCTCAGGAGGCCCGAGTTGCCGCGAATTTATTTTCGCAGAATTATTTACAGTATTCTTGGGTCATTTTACACAATTTTTTTTGCCAGTATTGTTCCAATTATTACCACTAGACGTTGTATTATAATAAAAATGGTATAAACTCGCTAGGCGCTCGCATATTAGTGTCACAAGTATGCCCACCAAAATGGTATAATTTACAGGAAATATTCAATGTATTTGGTTTTTTTTTCAATATAAATACTAAAATTAACTTAATATGTACATTTATTTACAAAAGAATTACACATTTAGTAGTCCTGGAGACTGTGATACTGTGCGAAACAGCCAATATGGCACAGAGGGACAGCGCACGCTTCACACCATATCAACACCAATTTACGTTTCTGTGGCCTCAATTTGGTACTGGAACACACAACACATCGACGCTGGCCTGCTGCACGAGATCCAGTTGGTGGTAATTTCTTTATTTGGTGTATCAGAAATGCCTCCCTGTGAGCGAGCCTGGGTGCAGGAGCATGGTTCAATATTGGGTCTCGAATGGGTCTTTGTATGCCAGGTGTGTCCTTGCCAAATTTACCTAGTAACTGTTCCACAACTTGAAAACAAAACGAACGGAAATATGGTTTTCTACTTGTTTTCACAAGATACATGTTGTAACTGTTCAGCATTGTTACGTCAATAAGGTGGAAAATCATTTTCTTCGTCCACTTCACTTTTTTCCGTACACACTCTACAGCACCCACCATCATGTCAGATTTATCAACTAAATGCATGTTGATGTTGTAGTCTATCACACAATCTGGCTTATATATTATTTGCTTTGTTGTTCTGTTCACCTTGCCACTGTCCACCATTGTACCAGGGTGAATGGTGGTCAACATGTTCACTTCACGTCTGTCTTTCCACCGCACTGAAAGCATTGCACCACTTTTTCTTACCTCGCAATCACCTACTTGCATAACAGTGTCAAACACAGGCATTTCCTTTCGTTTTGGCTTTACTGTGCCACACACTCCAGTCTTATTATCAAGCAAGAATTTCGTTAGCAAGGGACTGGTATAATAGTTATATGTACAATATGTGGCCCTTGTTCAGATATGGTGCAAGCAGTGCCTTCACCACACTACCTGAGAAGCCATGTTCGTCATTAGCAGGAATATCTACATTTGTGGCGGAATAAAGTATCATGTGTAACACCATTCCTGATTCATAGTCACAGAGCACAAAGAATTTCAGTCCACATCGGTGACGTTTTGAGGGAATATACTGCTTGAAGGCAGCACGTCCTTTGAAAAGCACAAGGGATTCATCAATAACCAGCTTCTGAGCTGGTACGTAGTAATCTCGGAACTTTCCAATCAGGTCATTTAGCACGTGCCCCACCTTTCAAAGCCTATTATTCTGTCTCTCGTCTGCATTATTTGCAAAATGAAGGCACCGTAGGATCAACAGAAATCTGTCTCGGGACATATATTTCCCGAACAATGGTGTTAGAACAGCGTTGTCTTTGCTCCAATAATCTGATATTACGTGTTTCACACAATGTTTCATCAACATGCAAATTGCGAAAAACACATACAGTTCACCAACAGTTGTCTCTTTCCAACGCTGTAGTCGTGAAAATTCCGATAGTTCCTCACCTTCAATGAGATCGGCCGCAAGTCTGTTCGTTTCGTGAACAATGTGTTCCATGAGCGGCTCATCGAAATATGCAGTAAAGAAGTCCATTTCACTCATTTCATCACCAGTATCAGGGAAAAGATCTGTTATTCCCACATCTCTGTTGTCAAAGTCAGGAATTTGTGGAACAAAATCTTCCCCATCACTCCACACAATCAAATCTGCTGCCTTCCGAGAGCCATTAGCTGCACCACGGCGAGGAATCCGGGGACCAGGAGCTGAAGCAGGCATTGCAACAGTAGGGGCAGGAAGGGTAGATGAGGGGAAAAGATTTGGAACATGTGGGAATTTGTTCCTCATTGTCGCCATATTGTTCCATGCAGCGGCGCTTGGCTGGGTGGGCAGGTGATGCGGCGAAACTTGTACTGGCACTAGCAGTCAGGGTAAAACTACAGTGGTACCTCGGAACACGAGTGTCCCTGTATGCGAGTTTTTCGGAATACGAGCCGGATTTCCTCGGAAAATGTGCCTCGGAAGGCGAGGGTTACCTCGGAACGCGAGTTTGTTGATACACGTTCCGGCCGACCTAGCGCGTGGTGGTACGGCGATCGTCGCCCCTCCGCCCTTCAGTTTACCATTGTCTCCCGCCTAGTGACTATACCTCCTGAATTCTTCACAAGGATTTACAGTTTTATGTCGGTTTTTTGGCCATTTGAGCATAAAAGTTGTTATTATATATCTCGCCATGGGTCTCAAGAAAGCCATTGATAAGGTTCAACCTAAGAAAATAGCTGTGAGTAGAGGCAGTAGAGGATGTCCCTTCTTGATTAAGAAAATGTGTGAAGTATGGGAAGAACTGCAAAGTTCTGTTGAAAAAACTAGCCCAGATAAAGCTGTAGCAGGCCACTGCATTGACCTTTTAAATGACAATGTGATGTCTTACTACAGACAAGTGTTAAAATGTAGGGAAAAACAAGTTTCTTTAGACAGATTCTTAGTAAGACAAACAAGTCCTAGTGGTATGCAGGCAAAATGTGCCAGTGTGTGCTCACCAGTGAAGTCCTCACTGCCTGATGTGATAATGGAAGGGGACTCCCCTTCCAAACAGTAACTCCTCTCCTCCTCCCCCCTCCTCACTATCTTTCATACGCCTACAGCATTTAACAGCAAGGTAAGTAATAGCTTGAACATAGTTTTGTAGGTTTATTTAGATGAATTAGGTATAAAAATTTAGTTTCATGTGGGGTTTTTGGGGTAGTCGGGAACGGATTAATTCATTTCCCATTATTTCTTATGGGGAAATTAGCTTCGGAATACGAGTTTTCGGAATACGAGCCATCTCCAGGAATGGATTAAACTCTTAAACTGAGGTACCCCTGTATTCTCCGATTCTTCATCACTAAAACCTGAGAAAGATTCACCTGTTTCAGTCTTGTCGATTATATCATAAACGTGCAATGGAACAGGATGAACGACGTGCTTTGACGCTTGGTGGTGTTAAGTAGTAGCGGGTATCTCATGTGGCATCCTCACCCTCGTGGCACCAACATGTTCACCCTCACTATCCGTTGTTTCTATTCCTTCAGGCTGTGTATAGTCCTCATCTATATCCGAGTCGTCAATATCAGATTCGTCAACGTCCTTGAACAATTCATTGGCAATTTCGTCTTTGGTCAAAGACTGCGCAGCGCAGTGCGCTGAGCGAGGTCGCACGCTGGGTCGTGATGCGCTTGCCATGGTATCTGGCCACTAACTAAGGCCTGTGAAACAAAGGAGGCCTGCTCTAGATTTTTTTTTTCAAAATGGCGTCTGTTTACAATCGCCTCTGGCTGCAGTATGGGTGACCCCTTTACACCGCGGGACATTTGAATTGTGCCTGGCACCCTTTGTCATATATATATACGCCATGCGCACGGTGGAACATGTTACTCATGGCGTATATATACGCCATGCGCAGTTTAAGGGTTAAAGTCATCGCATAGTGTGTCAACACCCACGTGTCAACACATGTGGAGGGGGGATGGGAAGGCTGGCGTGAGGTTGGGGGAGGTGGGTGACAGAGGAGATCACACATGTCATCTGTCTCTGTTCCAGTCTCAGCCCACCCACCCACCTGTTCACCCACTTCCCTGCCCACCCACCTGTTTACCCACCTGCCTGCACGCCCACTTACCCACCTGTTCACCCACTTCCCTGCCCACCCACCTATTTACCCATCTGCCTGCACGCCCACTTACCCACCTGCCAATCCACCCACCTGCCTGATACCCCACCCAGCCACCTGTTCACCCACCTGCCTGATACCCCACCCACCCATCTGTTTACCCACCTGCCTGCATGCCCACTTACCCATCTGCCAATCCACCCACCCACTTGTTCACCCACCTGCCTGATAGCCCACCCAGCCACCTGTTCACCCACCTGTTTACGCACCTGCCTGCACGTCCCCTTACCCACCTGCCAATCTACCCACCCACCTGTTCATTCACCTGCCTGATAGCCCACCCAGCCACCTGTTCACCCATCTGCCTGCTTGCCCACCCACCCACCTGAATGCTTGATGTTTGGGAGGACAAGGGAATGGGGGGGGGGGGAATGGTGGGGAGGACTGGGAGACAGGGAAAAGTTGCAGTGAGCCACAGCAACGTGTGGCCGGGTACAGCTAGTATATAATGTGTGCGTATAGTGTAATAACACCACAAACAGTATACTTGGAGGAGGAATGTTAATGCATCTGGCCTTGAACCAGTGAGGGAGAGAGGGAGGGAGCATCAGTTGTGTGTGGCCACCTGGTACTGTCTGCCGTCACCATACAAGCTTAGTGGTTCGTTATGGCGAACACAAATGTAGATACAGAGCACCGATACAGGTTAACGAACTTTAGTTATCCGAAACTTCAGTTTCCTGATTGGGGTTGGGGAGTCACGCTACACGAACTAAGTTCGGGTAGGAAGCAGTTCGCCAAGCTTCACGCCGGCCGGGGTTGTGGTTACCCTACACGAACCAAGTTCGGGTGAGGAAGCAGTCTGCCAAGTGTCGCGCCGGCCCGTGGTGGTGGGTGGGTGGGAGGGAGATGGTTTAGTTTGTCCACTGACCATGTTGGGTGCCACCACTCTAGTGCCTGCTACCCTGTGACGTCACAGATTCACAGCCTATTGTTCTCATTGTTTGAATTTGTCCCGAGACTGGAGTGTTCAGTCCGTGACTTTGTTTTACATATCAGCACAATCAAGCAACATCCATGCACCATGTCGGCTCCAAATGCAAGCATTGTGTCAATGAAAGCATCAATAAGCGGATTACGTAAAAGAGGTCAGTGATGACATTTGAGAAGAAAGTTGAAATAATTAAGAAAGTGGAGAGTGGTGTCCCGAGATGTGTCGTGTGCGCTGAATATGGCATTAGCAGAATTACTGTTTTTGATCTTCTTAACACTTTGAGGTTCCACAGACTGATTATCTCGTCACTCATTTTTCTACTGAATGTGTTCCAACGACGCAATACTGAGTCACTCATTAAAATATTTTTTAAAAATTTAAATTTTATCAGATCAATCTGGTAGTGGTTTTAAAATAAGCGCCTTTAGATTGCACACAATTTGATACCAAAATCAAAGATATAACATGAAACTTGATGTCCAAACACTTGAAATATTATAAATAGGCCTATGGTCCGAATATTAAAATAATTGTTAAAATTCTATTTATTGTCCTATTATCTTGGGACTAGTTTTAAAATGCGCGCCGTTTTATTGCGAACAATTTGATACCAAAATGAAAGATGTAACACAAATATTTATGTCAGAACACTGTAAAGATATAAATAAATTTGTGATGATGAGCGTCCAGAATTAAAATATTTGTTACAAATCCAGTTATTGCTCTATTATTCTGGGACTAGTTTTAAAATACTCGCCTTTTTATTGTGAACAATTTGATACCAAAACGAGCGACGTAGCACGAAATTTGATGTTATCAAATTGAACGAGTTGAACATTAGGTTGCAATGTACAAAATGGTGCTCGTTCACGGGTAACTTTAGGCTTTTCTGCGGGGAGGCACTCCAGCCTTTTGTACATTTTATTCATACACATCTGTAGGGAATTTAATTGCGAACACAATGATACCAAAACGAGCGACATAGCACGAGAATTAAGGTAAAAAAATGGAACGAGAATGCACATGTTACTGATTTTGTGCATTTTTGCCGACTTTACGCTTTGCTGTTGGGAGTCACGCTAGGCTTTTGGACATTATATTTATACACTCCTGTAGAGAATTTAATTGCGAACACAATGATACCAAAACGAGCGACGTAGCGCGAGAATTAAGGTGAGAAAACTGGAACGAGTATACACATTTGGGTGTCACCGCGCGCTTACCCGCACGGAGGGGCTACCTACCCCCTGTCAACCGCGAGTTTCCACGGAGCGCGAAAGTGTTAACCTTTAAACTGTGCAACGTGCCTGCAGGCTCACGTCTGGTTTGCGCAACGCGCCTAAGGGTATTTGTATTTTTCACGTTCCATTCAAAACTCCCGGGGCTACATGGGGTTCTCATCAGCTTCCTCAGGGCTCTTGTAAACAGATGCCATCTTTAAAAAAAATCGTGGTCTACATTCCCGGGTGTGGGAGCCTCAGTAGTGTGTGAGCAACCAAGGCTGGCGCTCGCAGCATGAGCGCACAGCACTGCTGTTGAGCATGTGACCACAGCATCGCCTAATAATATCAAAATATATATATAACTTGTATTATTTAGCTATGATAGTGTTATATTAGAGCCTGAGTGTGATAATGACTGGGTACAATGTTCAAATATCAGTGATTCAATGCTGTTCACGATGTTCACAGCGCTAGCCACAGCACTACAGCATTATTTCGTTCATCTAGGAATCTTCAAATGATTTCTTAGGTTCCTTTTCAAAATAAACGTGTGGTCAATTATTCATTTACAGGAATTAGTGACCAGGTTTGTGATAATAGCAGGATTGTGGTTATAATTAGCGTTGTGCGTAGTATTGTGGAAGGAGGAATTTTGATGAGGGAGGGAGGGCGAGAATTGAGGTAGCCTCATTGTGTGTGTGTGTGTGTGTGTGGCTGCCACTCTTGT